TTTGAAGTTAGATAGGTATAAATTCCAGGCTTTTAATTTATCAACTCTGTAACTTTGAGTAACTTAATCTTCCTGATTCTTGGCTTTCTAACTGAAAAAATAAGATTATTTCATACCCTCTTGGTTTCTGAGAACTAAGAGTAAAGTGTATAAAAATGGCAAATACTAGGTGCTTAGTAAATACTAGTACATTTCTTTTCCCCTGCCAGTTGCTGCTATTTAATTACCATACGAGGTTGCAAAGAAGAGAAGGCAAATAGAGTATTAGGTTTATTTCTTACATGTATAAAGATATGAAGACTAACACAAAGATTCCTCGTAAATAAGTTTCAGTAATAAGTTGAAGGAAGAAAAGATTGTGCTCTGAAAACTAAAGACAAATAGATTAAACTTCTCTCCTGAGAGACTATGGCTTTACTGGTAATATGTTTATAATAAACCTAGCCATGTCTAATAAAGAAAAGTTACCTCTAGTAGATGAAGCAGGGTTTTTATTCTCATACAAAATTGAGCTTATTAAATAATGGTACACTTTCGTTGCTTATGGTGTTTTCATTAATGAGAGATCATGAAAGAACATTTTTCTTTCCCAGAGTAGACATCATATCTGCTGCAATTATATTTTTTTGGAATGAAAGAAAAATGTGACATTTACTGAATAAATGGACTTTTACTGAAAACTTTGCTTTTTTTCCTTTTTAGGTGTTTGGCAATCAACTCATTCCTCCCAATGCGCAAGTGAAGAAGGCAACTGTCTTTCTCAATCCTGCAGCTTGTAAAGGGTAGTTCAGTTTGTGATTTGTTATATATTCAGTTTTTCTAAGGGGAAAAAAATGACAGAGTATCAGGCAGCTATTTAGGTTGTGTGGAATTGGAAGAACTAGGGTCAGTATTCTTCTAGCCAATAAGATTCATTTGTAATGTAGAAATAACAGTTAATGAGAAATAACTATAAAGCTAACTAAGAAGACTTGTCTAATTGAAGTTTAATAATCATTCCGGAATTAACACAAGCAGAGAAGTCTTATCTGCTTGAAAGGTGGTCCCCTTGGGAACGACTGCACAGCTGCTATGGCATAAATCATTAGGCCTTCTCTGTCCACAGGATGTTCAGAGCTGGCTAAGAGCACTGTGGGCTTGGGAGGTCAGAAATGCTCTTTCCAAAATGGATGAACCTCGAGCTTGTTCTTGGAGGAAGCAGGCAAGAGGAGAACAGTCCTTCTTCTTGACTAAGGAAACAGCCCAGGGGAAGGGGCCTAGAAACAGGAGTGACCTAGTTATGTCCTTGTTATGGCACAGGACAGTCTGTAACCGGTCTGGCTGGCCTGGAAAGGTCATGGGAGGGAATTAAGGTGTGAAGAGTGACTGGGACTTGGGTATATAATGATGTGTTCTTGATGGCTCATTGGTAACAAATGTACTACATTGAAAGTGGGGGGATGTGTGTGGGGGGAGGGAGGGGTGTGTGGGAACTCAGAGTCTCTTAATGAAAAAAAATACCATAGGCAAAAATATTTTTTTACACTGTTAGATGCAACTCTCATTAATTGGAAAGGTGAATACAAAGACTTTGATGGCTTTAGAAGAAACTGTTTAAAATTTATTTTTTGAAAATAGAATTAATGGGTCGAGGGTAAAAAAAAAAAAATGTGATACCTTTTACTCTCCCTAATGGTCAGAACATTCTTTTTGGCTTTTCTGAGGATCAGATTATTAGTAAATATGTATCAGCTGGGATTCTATAAGATCCAAGTCAAATGACATTAAGATAATAAGAACAACAACAAAAAGAATAGTTGGAGCCAGATTGTAAGTCTGGGTAAAACTCAGGGGCTCTGAAGTTGATTTCTCTCATCATTTCTTGGGATGCAGTGAGTGTGGCTTCACAGGTAGGAGGGTAAGTCGTGTCTTACTTCTTTTTAATTGAGCAGTTTAATTCAGATTGTCTAACCCTGCCTAATTAATCATATTCGCTGGGCTTTGTTAGAGCCCCTCCC